CCCCGATCCGGCCCACTCCTTGCCCCAAACCCCTCGTGTGGACAGGGCCATGGTTGGGCAAAATGGGAAGGTTCAACTAGGATTTAATCAGGGGGTCTTCAGTTGTATGATCCCAAATGCACAAACCACTGGGTTCTGAAAGAGCCATAAGGCTTTGCCCCATGAAAAGCTTTTAAATATGTCAAATCAACTAGGATTTAATCAGGGGGTCTTCAGTTGTATGATCCCAAATGCACAAACCACTGGGTTCTGAAAGAGCCATAAGGCTTCAGACTTTGCCCCATGAAAAGCTTTTAAATATGTCAAAATTACTGATTCTAGCTTTTAGCCTAACAATCTTTATACTGCAGTGGTCAATGGCCACGTTCAGACACAATACAAAACTGTATGAGGATTAAGGCAAGTTATCTGGGTTTGTACGTCATGCAAAAATGTATTTAGGAGGTTAAAAAATGGCTTCAAACCATGGTTTCAGATCCTGTTTTGACAGACCCCCAGCTAACTTTACTTAGTGCAGTGGTGTACATTCATTCAATAACACTAACTTATTTTGTTTCAGTTAAACCTTGGCTTTGTGTTATGTTTGAACTGAGCCAGTGTCACTGTCTTGTGTTTTAAGGCACATATTAAATGATGCCAGATATTTTACTTTTTAATTCTCTTTAAACAAATAAATGAAGGACTGAGAAACAATTTTTGACCAGATTGTTGCATTTGGTGGCCCCCAGTCCCTGTCAAAGTGAGCAGCTGTGGGTCCCGTCCCCCCGTGCCTAAGTGGTGTCATTATGCACATTTTATTTTTCTTTCCAGGATGTAAGTGGAACAGTGATTGGTTATGAGGTTCCTCCACCAGAGAATGTTCTTAAGTTACCAGTTGTTCGAAAGGCAGGAAAGTTCGGATCCATACAATTGCATTGGGAAGCCACACTTGCCACTGCCAGCCTGGATGACTTTATGCCATCATTCGGGAACCTTACATTTACAGATGGACAAGTATGTAGGCGTTTTATTCACTTGCATGGCTTTTATGTGTTTGTTAAAGTTTGTTTCTCTTCCCTTCACCCCATTTCCTCCTATTGGATCCAACAGGTGTCTTTCTCAATGGGATCCAACCCTAATTTTGTTTTGTTTATGCTTGAGTTCTACTGTTAGTGTTTGAATGCATTAGTAGGTTTTTTGCCCCCCCCCATGCCCCCCCATGCCCTGCTCTGTTTTATGATATGGCCGAAGGCTGATTCACACATTTCAAAGTCTGTGTGACTCATTTGTGTGGACTGTGTCTGGAATTCTCTTCTGGGAATTGCCAGGTACATGGGATCCCAGTTCTGATTGGGACTTCAGTGTATGGGCTTCCCCCTGTGCTGTTTTCCACACCTGAAGCAGCTCTGGGGAGTAACTATTTTCCTTGTTGGTTAAGGTGGTTTCTTAGCATCAGGAGGGCATTGTATAAATGCTCATTGCAGCAAATGCTTAACAACAATATCCTTTCCAAAGATAAAGTGACCTTGTTTGATGGGGGGGAAAAGAATCTCATTTTTTTGAAATTAGACACCAGTCTGCTGTGTGTCATGTCCAGCAAACAAATCTGTGTTCCTTTTCACAAAAGCATTATTGACATGTGCTGAGTTTTACCATGCAGATCATAATGATGCATTTAATACATTTCATTGTGTTCCCCCCTCCCCCAGGAGACAGGAATTATAGAGATCACCATAATAGATGATGACATTGTTGAATTTATAGAAACGTTCAGTGTCACCTTACTTGGAGTGACAGGTGGTGCCAGACTAGGAGATGACGTGTTGATGGCTGTCACTATTCCACCCAATGACTCTCCAGTTGGAGTATTTGGGTTTAAAGAAAAGTTTGTAAGTATGACCGGTGTCGTTCATTTGGGAATAACTGTGATACTGCCTCAGTTTAGACATGATGCAAAACCATGGTTTATTTTTATTTATTGTTAGTTTGGGAAACCAGGGATCAGCTCACAAATGACCACCAAAATCCTAGTTTACCTTAACAAATGCTGGTTTCATTGCCTTTTCTCTAGCCAGGTTGCTCTGTAGTTGGGGAGTATGCATGGACGTCACAAGGGAACAAGCCAGGATGCCCATAGTTCTATATCACACAAAACCAGAGTTAAATTCAGATCATTATTTCAGTTCCTGTTTTGACAAACCGTAACTAACCATAGACAGTGGACTGGCCTGCAGTCAGATGGCCACATTGACCATTGCTAGCTTAATTAAACCATGGTTTTCTTGCTGTATCTACACTGAGTTACTGGCTGTGTATTTAGTTAATCAACTAGAACTTCAAAAATGTAACTCTTAAGACTTTTAATAAAGCATTGATCCAGAGCAAATACACCTGCATTTTATAAACTTTAAAAAGTGGGTATCGTATGGAATGTGTTGAATATCAAAGCTAATGTGCAAAACTGTGCATCTTGGAGTGAAAGGTAGATCTCTGCAGGATGGATATAGAGACTAGTGAGGACTCAGGGGCCCTTCTTTATATTTTGAGTAAGCTGGAAGATGGAGTGGATAATGATTCCTGTCAATATTGATGATGATAATAATAATAATTGGAATTTGTATAGCCGTTAAGTGCTCAGAGTGCTTAAATATTTTATCTTGTTGTAGTCCTGTCAGGTAGGCCATTATCATTCCTAAAGTGTAGATGGAGGGGAGCTGAGAAAAATAGTTGCATGGGAAAGGCAAATTTCATGGCAAAGGTGAGATTTTTATAAGGGAATTCCTGGCTCAAAGCTCAGTCTTAGCCACTACATGATGCCACCTTGCTTTTATCAGTGCGACATGATGTCCATGTGCCCTCCTCTGCCCTTTGCTGTGCTTTATTCACTGGCTTGGGGCAACATGGAAGTCTTCAGTTTTTAAATCTTTTTTCTTTGCTCCCATCAAGGTCCTTTCTGCAAGGACTGTGAACTTTGCCTTCTGAGCAGTGTTGCAGATGGCAGTCCCATACTGAGTTTTCCCTTTCCTCTTCCTACATAATGTATAGTACAACTTACCCATGCCCTAATAGCATCATGTTGGATTGCTTCCATCTGTGTAGTGTAGGCAGTAGATCCTATGATTGTCTGGCAGTCAGAAGTTCCAGCTCTTTAGCATTATCCAGAGTGCACCATGAGGAGGCAAGACAGAATTGCAAAATACTAGGTCCCAAATATGATTGTGGTGCAGCCCGCCAAACTATTTTCTGTCTGTCACAGGAATGTGAGCATCGTGCTTTCCAGGGAGATGTGACAGAGGTCTTTGTGCTCTCCCCAGCTGCTAATGAGTGGATTGAAAATTTAGATATTATTATTTAGAGGGATTTCCCAATCTGTTTGCATAACCATTGTATCTACTTGGTTACATATTTTATATTATTATATGCTTGCTTCCTATCATGTTGGATGATATGGATGAGTAGCTGGGAAACAGACAGAGTACATAGCAGTACACAGAGGAAGTTTTACTGTATATCATGACAGGATAGTTTGACATGGGGCTGCCAGTATCAGTGGTGGCTCTGCATATCTCATAATGTCTGTCCACTCTTGCTTTAATGGCCGTCAGTGGTGGCTCTGCATATCTCATAATGTGTAGTTCCAGTTTCACAGACCATATCTGTCCACTCTTGCTTTAATGGCCTAAGGTAACTAGAAGTACCACTGGCAAAGTTGCCAGTTTTATTTTCACTGGGGTAGCTTTCAGTTTCCTTAGACAGACTGTGCATTGCTTACAGTATAAAAAAGAAAATGCAACAGAAATGAAAAAGACAAAGGGGGAGGGGAGGCTTCTGAGTATAGAGCAGGCCTTCCTCTTTTTACTAGCAGATCTTCCTTCCAGCTCCAGGCTAAGAGCTAAAGGACAAGAGCCCTTTGGCTCTTGCCTTTCAACTCATGCCCATAGGCTTGTGCCTCTGGGCGCGCCCCGGGCTTAAGTCCTTGTGTGAATAGGAAGAGAAACAAAGTCAGTGAGATGTTCGTCAGCCGCTGCTAGAACAAACAGGCTCCTTCCCAATTCCTATCAGTAGTAATTTGTCATATTTTTCAGGTTTTAAATTGGATTTCAAATTTGTTTACTTGACCTTATATTTACAGAAAACCTGGTCTATTTTCCATTGTTCCACTCCAGGCACTGGATTTTCCATTGTTCCACTCCAGGCACTGGATTAATCAATTGGATTTTCTTCTTTCCTTGCCAGAATAGTTTTGTACAGATAGCTCTATTATTAAAGAGGCTCATAACATCTGGCTTTAAATGAAGATAAGATTTTATTTGTAGGCAGGATATTAAGATGATACTAAGATTCTCAGGTCCTTTGTTGCTAAGAGACTGCTTGCATAGGAAGGACACTCAGTTGTACCCTCATGACTCAGCTGCTGGTACGTGCTGAGCCCAGCCGTAACTCTTTGAGAAATGCAATCAACCAATTTAATTGTATTACAACTGCTGTCAGTATCTGTGATGCTGAGGGGTTTTTGCCAAGTGTGTAATATTGCTATTGATGGTTTTTGCTATGTGTTTGCTCTGTAGTATCATGTGTTTTTCTGCTTCCCACTTGAAGTACTTAATAGAAGCAGGAACCTTGATAGAACAATCAACATTTTGAATGTAGAGAGAAGAGAGAAGGATGTTTGCCCAGATGGAAGCTTCTGCTTCTCTTGTCTAAGAACATAAGAGAAGCCAATGTTGGATCAGGCCAATGACCCATCTAGTCCAACAGTCTGTGTTACACAGTGGCCAAAAATACCAGGTGCCATCAGGAGGTCCATTAGTGAGGCCAGGACACTAGAAGCCCTCCCACAGTTGCCCCCCCCCCAAGCACCAAGAATACAGAGCATCACTTGCCCCAGCCTGAGAGTTCCTATCTATACCTTGTGGCTAATAGCCACTGATGGACCTCTGCTCCATATGCTTATCTAATTCCCTCTTGAGGCCTTCCATGCTAACCTTTTCCATTTTTATTAAGGTAACAGTGAAGGAGCCCCAGTTAACTGGTGATCCTGCTGCAAGTGCATTTCTTACTGTAAGTCGGAGTCAAGGGGGCCAGGGAGAAGTTCGGCTTATTTGGATTCTTGAAGAAGCAGCAAAATATGATCTCACTCCCCTCAATGGAACTCTTCTTTTTGCTGAGGTACATCTGCTAGTTGATTGGTTGATTTCTCTCTCTGCCTCTCTCTCTCCGTCCCTCTCTGTCTCTTGCCCCAGAAATGGCTGTCATATCTCTTTTTTGAGCCAGTCGCTTAGGACTCTTCTTCAGGATCCTTTTCACAAAATTATTATTATTATTATATTGTTGTTGTTGTTGTAATGCAGGAATTCAATGAAAAATTATTTAATTTCCATCTACCAGCTTCATATTGCAGCTCTGAAAATTATGATCCAAAACCTGGGTAACTGAAGACCTGTTTTCACAAAGTCTGTTGTGTATTGCATGAATTCGGTCCTAACCCTAACTTGTGGCATCCCTGGGACAGGACATTCCTCTTGTGTAACCCTTGTACCTCAGCATATCAATCAGTAGACTGGATTAGATGGGGTGTCTAGTTGCTCCAGCTTGATAGTTCCAACTACCTAAGAAGCACATATCCACAATGTCATACATTATACTTAGTAATACCATGTTAATGAGATTTGTCTTGCTTGTGCAGTGTCCTTTGGAAAGGTGTGATGAATATTCAAGGCCTGATGGGTCTTTCAACCTCAAGATCCAAATATGTAAAATTAATCATGACACCCTGACCACAGTGAGATGCATGTGTTTCATATGGGCTCTTTGAGTCAGTGTCCCCAGCTGATTTGCAAACTTCCATATGTATAAAGTTTCTATCTGCCATATACAGTTGGCAGCAGGAAGTGAAATATTTTGGCCCTAACTACTTTTAACTTTATACACTATTAAGTGCATTGTGCATGACTGAAGGACCATCTGTGTTGCTAACACTGCCAGCCAACCAGAGTATTATAGAAGGGTGTAACTGTAGTTAGAATGTCACTGTAAGCCTTTCCTACAAAAGTTTGAGAATTTAAGATAGTGTTCTTATTTATCTGGTGAAAAAAAATGTTTTATTTAGAAATGAAGATAAGTTTGCCCTACCAGTGAGTCACATTTTTAGGATAAATAATATTCTGTGCCTTCTTCTTCTAATGCAGATGGAATTAGAGAAAACTATACATTTGCAGGCAATTCAAGATGGTCTACTGGAAGCCGATGAAAGTTATAATACTCAGCTTTTATCTGTTGATGGCACAGAGATATCACCTATCAGTGGTATGTATACAACTTTTTAAATCTTTGAGGCAACATCCAAATCTAATTATGAAAGATTGTTTGGGGCTATTTCTTGCTGTTGTAGTACCTGGTTATTCCATCAATCATCAATCGGATTTTATCATTGAAACTTAAAATGTTGTCCATGTGTAACCAATTTTATTCCTCTATCTCAGTGGAGCTTTCACCTTATTAACCAGCTAACGAACACGCAGACTGAATGCTGAGAACTCCAGCTCAGCCAAGTGCCTCAATTGGCTCAACTTGTAGAAAAGTGGTGGCAAAGAGTATTGCATTAAATATTGCTATTTAGTTGAGACAAGTTGTATACTTAAATTCTTTCGAAGATGGCTGCAGTAGCATTAGGCAATCAGAAATCACATATATCAAGAGAGACATGCAAAAACATCTATTAATTTCCTTTTTTATGAGCCTGAGTTTATTGTAGAGAAAGATGAGATAAATCAGTGGGATAAATAAATGTATAAATCATCTTTTTTCAGCAAGTTCTCTGTATTCTTAGGTATAGCAACCATTACTATATTGGGAGATCGGGGAGCTTCTGGAATTGTTGGCATTGCTTCGTCATCTACTCATATCCTAATTGGAGAACCAATAGGAAGGTATAACGGAACTGCTTTTATTGGGTAGGTGATTCACTGATTTTTCCCTCTGTTACAAAAAATTGTGATTTGTAAATATGCATAACTTATATATTAATAGGAAACTCTCAATCGTATTTTAAACATTTGTGATAACAATATACATTTGCAGTTTTTAAATGCCCTATTCTGGTCAGAAGGTCTCAAAGCTTCATCACTCTCTGTGGTCTCATTTGTCTCATCCTGAATCATTTACAAAGTTCCCATGGTCCTCACTGGATGACAAGGTCACTGCTTCTGAAATGACATTTTTTTTAAAGGAAGACCACCTCTCTTCAAAATATTAGGTATTCTGTAAAAATATATATTCAAATAAGATCCCCACAATCGGCGAAGGGGAAGACCTTCATTTTTTAATTAATAACAGGATGAGCCTTGGTTTCTAATTTCATTAACCTTTTCCTTTTGAGTACAGGTCATGTCTGGTATGCTGGACACCCAGAAGGTAGATGTTGAGTTAGCTAGAACCAACATATAAAATCAACATAGAGGAAATAATCCCTTTCATTTAAAACCAGCAATGGTAATTGCAAATTCCCATGATGGTACTTCCAGTTTTGGTCCTGGGTTTGTGGCTACTGGTTTTGAAGCAGACATCTTAAAAGCATTCTGAGAATGCCCAGAAGTTTTGACTCTGCAGCAGCAAGTCTACCTATTATATTTCATTACACCATTCCTCTATGGAGCTCAGTGCAGCATACATGGTGCTGTTATGTTTTATTCTCACCACAGCCTTATGAGGCACATTAAGTGGAGAGTGATTGGCCAGTGAGCTTCATGACTGCATGTGAATTTGAGCTTGCTCTCCCCAGTCCTAGTCTGATGTTCTGACCTGCTCACCCCATTGGCTGTCATTGTAACCTGCAGATCCCATTCAGTTATGTCAAGGATGAATCAGTTTTAAGACTGAAACAAAGTGCCGTTATGCCATGACAATTCATACAAGTTCAGGGGGTCCAAGGTATAATCATTCTAGTGCACATAATCTTCATGTTCTCTTGTCATTTTGCTGTAACATTTTTTGTGAGGGAAGAGAATTCAACTGAGGCTAGGCTGCAGTGTTTTTGCTTGAAGACATTTAAGGTCAGTACTGCAGCCATGACACTGTATTTTAAGTACTGCTGTGTGCCTGTTGTTGTCTGCAGCTTAGTACGTGGGCCAGGGATTTTTGGAGAAGTCACAGTTTCTTGGAATATAACTCCCCCTCATCAGAAGGAATTTGCTGAGATATCAGGGACATTGACTATGAGAGACAGGCAGTCTGCTGCGGTTGTACTAATACAGGTATGAGCTATAGAATTAGCTGTTTCAGTATCCCATGTTGGTGAAACGGTATATCTTGGTTCACATTTAATAGCAGAATCCCCCCCCCTCTCTCTCTCTCTCTCGCGCTCTCTCGCTCTCTCTCTCTCTCTCTCTCTCTTTCTTTCTTTCTTTCTTTCTTTCTTTCTTTCTTTCTTTCTTTCTTTCTTTCTTTCTTTCTTTCTTTCTTTCTTTCTTTCTTTCTTTCTTTATTGTGGAAATCTTTCACCTTGGTTTGTTTTCCCTTTTTAGGCTTTAGATGATAGCCTCCCTGAGGAGAAGCATCAATACCAGTTTCACCTCACTGGTATCAGCAATGAAGGAATCATAAATGAGTCTGCCAGGACAGCAGATATCACACTGGCTGCTAGTGACTTGCCCCATGGGTGCTTTGCATTTTCCCAGGAACTACTGCAGATAGCAGAAGAGGAAAAATGGGTATGGAATGGCTTTTCCTTATTGGAGGTCAACATTCTGCGTATGGGCATAATGCCAAGTTATATGCTACAAAAAGGTTTCTCAGAAAGGCTGTAATATAGGCTGGGCTTTCAAAAAATTCAGATATACGTCAGAAGGAAATTTTCTATTGTGCTGTAAAAAAGGGAATGACACTAGACACTGAGCTGAACTGTAAAATGTTTAGTAGCAATTTAAAGACTAACAAAATATGTGGCAGGGTGTGAGATTTCGTGAGTCACTGCTCACTTCTTCAGATAAAGCTAGAATGGGCCCATCTGGCCTATATATTGGAAAGTGGAGTGATTTCAGATGCTGGATGACATTACCAAGCAAATGACAATAGCAGGTTTATGTTCTGAACATCTGTGTCCTAATGGACTTCAGTCTCGGCACAAAGATTACTTTTCTCTTCATTTTGACTGCAACAGTTTTACAACAGAAATAACAGTGATTATCAGAGACTGGTTCATTTATGTTTTACAATTTGTGTTCCATCATGTTTTGGCATAGCTGGATTGATGAAATAATCTGTGTATTTTTGGTTTGTATCTGCGGGCTTCTACAGAAAGATTTCTAATGTTGAACATCATTATATATTACTGTGTAATAGAATTACATATACATTTATAAAACAGTTTCTAAAGAAAATTGTTATAAGAGTATTTAATAAGTTGACGGTTTGTCTACTTCAGTGTTTTGGGGTTTTTTTGTATTTATAAACTTCCACATTGAAAGTCCCCTTTTTTCGTTGTGAATGTGATGATAGTAGGAGTGGTCTGATGTCCTAAGGCATTTGATGCTCACATCATCAGGCAACAGATTTAGGATCAATAGTCTCTAGAAAGTATGTTGCAACTACATTGGAATTTTTCTGTTGCTATAATTTGGAGGGGCTCATGAAAGAAATTGGTTTCTCCACTTTCCCCTTTCCTGAGCAGTGTGTTGTCCACTGGTTGGAGGAACTCTCATGAACAAAATTTAACACAATACCTAAGGCTGCCTCCTTCCAGTCATTTTGCCCTATCTGTTTCCCTTCTTTTCCTTCTGTGTTCTCTCCCCCCCCCCATACTGTGGTCCATTTGGTTCATGAGGGTCTCCTAAACTTCAGAGAGGGTTTTTTAAAACAGACAGTGGCATGCTGGGGGAAGGCAGGGAAAAGATCAGTCGTTCCTGTGAGGTTTTCCATTGGATCTAGTACATAGTTTCCGCTGTCCATCAGAATTAAATATACCAGAATTCCTGCTTCCGAATCAAACCATTAGATGCTTAGAAGAATAACGGAAGCCTTAAGACATGTTTGTCTCCCACAGGCTAACATCACAGTTGTCCGTTCATATGGACATTATGGGGAGATTCGTATCTGGTATCAGGTGTTGAATGGAACTGCAGTGGAAGGCATAGATTTTGCTGTCATGTTGGGAGAGCTTACATTTGAACCCAATGAAACTATGAAAACCCTTTTTACTGAAATTCATGATGATGACATTCCTGAAGGCCCTGAAGACTTTTCAATAGAAATTACTCAAGTGGAACTACTGGGAAGGTAAAACTAACTTTCAGTGCATGGGAAGAAATTAGATGTTACAACAAAGCTGCTGGTCTTATTTGATGCTAAGATACAGATGTGTAATTAGGATTAAAAGAATAGATACACTGATTGCCCCCCCCAGCCAATAGTATGTAACTAAATAGCAATAAAACATTTTAAAAAATTATAGTGTTCAAGAAAAAAATTCAAGAATACAATCAGCACTTGGGTAATAAAGGTGATGTGTAGTTCTGGAAGGTGTTTCAGCTCAAGGGTTTTAAATGAAAAGTGCTGGCTGGAAAAATTAGGGCCCTACACCTCCACAGTCATAGGGTCAGACTAAATTTCTGTAGTTTATATTTCAAGTCCTAAGTATGCTGCTTGTAGTCCAGTTGTGCAGATGCAGAGCCTTGACTGCTCAATTGGAAGAGCAGCAGTTATGCTGACCAGCTGTTCAGGACAGAGGAAAATGGGGAGAATACATCCATTGTCCCTGTACCCCTCTTTAGCAGCTGATCAGGGTTATCTCTGATTTGTAATAGGGCTCCCTGGAGATGGAGCTTTGATTTGTTTGTTTTGTAGTCATTTCTATTCCATACTTTCAGCAAATATTTGGTTCTCAAGGCAGCTTACAATGAAACTATCAAAAAATACAATAAAACAGATGGCAATATAAATCCTTACACTAATCACTGTGAAATCTTGAAAATGACCAGCAGATTTAGTTACATAATAAACAGGTATCTGAAACATATTCTAAAAGGACATTTAAAATGGGTAACAGAAAATTATTTCATTTTGTAGTAATACTGATAGAAGGCAAGCAATGGGGGGCATTGAGAAAAAAACACACCCACTCTCATAACGACTAACAACAAAACAATAAAATGATTGGGAGAAAAATTTAGGTCTTAACCTGATGGCAAAGATTTCTTGCAGCTGAATATGGGAAGGATCTGTGCACATAGTGCCTTAGTCCAGCAAAGGTTACGTGTGCAAATGCCTTCTGGATCAGAGCAACTTGTCTGGGAGTAGTTTCCACTGATACTGTTTGTTTTTTTATGTTGGAAATTCATGGCCCTGTGAAATTTAGTTTGTCATCTTTTTCTAAAGTTTTGTGTATAAAGCATAAAATAAAGAGGTTAAGAGATCAGTTCCGCAGGACCTGCAAAACGGAGCTCTTCCACCAGACCTTTGATTGGAGCCGCTACCAATAACAACTGAACTGTGGTAGGGCCTTCTATGTCAACAGCAACAGCCTGTGATGTCAACAGCAACAGCCTTTGGCCACATTCTTGTGTTACCATATTATCATGATCTATTGGGATCCTTATGCAATGCTACCGCCACCAGCACTTTAATTGTTATCCGTTACGTATATGAGTTTTATGATGTTGTATTGTGTTTAATGCATTTGTGATTTAATGCATTTTAACTTTTTAATGTGAGCCGCCCTGAACCTGCCTAGGTGGGGAGGGCGGGATACAAATCAAATAAATAAACAAGATCATTGGAAGTGGCTTGCTTTTAAGTGCACAGATTGCAGGAAGATTGTCAAAGTCCCTAATTCATACTACAAAACTACGGCGAAAAAGTTAGAAAACCCATCTGTAAGGGAACAAAAAGAGGGGCACATGGGGAGCCTGCTGTGGTGGGGAGGGCGGGATGGAAGTAAAAATAAATAAATAAAAATCTGAGCAGATTGTCTTATTTCTTTGTATTTGCCTTCACATACTCTTGCAAGTGGATTTGATTTTACGATAAAAGAGCACGGACTGCAGATTGATCAGCCCCCTGAGATAGGAAATTCCTCAGTAGTGAGAATCATTATATCAAAAAGTGACAATGCAGAAGGAATCCTTGAATTTGATCCACTCTACACAAGCCTGCAAGGTAGGTTAATGTTTCACAAGCAGAATTAAAATAATGATTGTTAACACAGAAATAATGCTGTCTGTTCAGAATTCTAGAGTCCAATGGCACCTTTAGGACCAAAATAGTTTTATTTAAGATGTGAGCTTTCGTGTGCATGCACACTTCGTCAGATGATGAAATGGAATTACATATCATAGTTGTATATATAGGAGTGGTTTGTTAAATTAGCATGCAAAATAGTGAGGACACATTTTTAACAGATCAAAAGAATGACAAGCTTAGTTCCTGGATATCATCTGTTTCAGTTCAGCGGGGGGGGGGGGGGGAAGAAAAAAATAGGTAATAAATATGTTAGAACTGGAGACTGGTGTGCCCTAATTTGTGAGAATCCTATCCCTAGACCTATATTTTGATGTTTTTCTTTTCTTTTTTTGAGATAGTATATTATAATAGTGATTGTAATGCAATGCAATCTTGTTCATCTCTGACATAACACTGTACCCCAGGAAAAGGATTATGACTATTCTTAGCAATTGCTAATATTATTACAATTCTTAGCAATTGCAATTAAGAATATAGTTGAATATGTGATGTAATTTGGAATGGTGGATTTAAATGCAGTTCTTTGTTTTGGGGACAAGGAAAACACTCTACATACCCAAGATGCTGTAAAATTCACCTCCATGCATGAAAGGAGATGGATGTGGTCTAAGGATGGGATTCTCACAAATTAGGGCACATCAATCTCCAGTTCTAACATATTTATTACCTATGTTGTTTCCCCCCCAGTTGAACCGAAACTTTGTTGTTCTTAAAGGTGCCATTGGACTCTAGCTTTGTTGTGTTGCTTCAGACCAACACGGCTACCCACCTTGATCTGTTCAGAATGCTGTACTTTATTCTTATTTTTTCCTGTGAACAAAGGAGAGTACAGAAGTGTACCAGCTGTCCCACATATAACAAAAAGAGGGCCCAAAACTGTGTATATTGGTATCAGCAAATAAAATCAAAACCCAAAAGTGTAAATAATCTCGATGTGGGGTGTAGTGGTTAAGAGCCGCAGACTCTAATCTGGTGAACTGGATTTGATGCCCCAGTCCTCCATATGAAGCCTGCTGGGTGACCTTGGGTCAGTCACAGTTTTCTCAGAACTCTCTCAGCCCCACCTACCTCACAAGGTGCCTGTTGTGGGAAGAAGAAGGGAATGGCGATTGTAAGATGCTTTGAAACTCCTTAGGGTAGAAACTCCCCACCACTGAAGTAATTCACTCATAGTCATGTGATGATGGCAATTCTACTAACCTAGCCATGAAGTCTTGGCCTGTATGGACCTTCAGCCCTCTAGTTCAGGACCTCTGACACCTTTGTATTGTATTTCTTCATCTTCTGTCTTCAGCCCCACATTGGCACTATGTTTGCACAGGCCAGCCACAGTTAGATTTTTTTCCAGCTAAAAAGCCCTCCGATGTTGCCTCTCCCTCGGCAACCAACACAAGTAGTCTTTCCTGTGTAAACTGTCATGTGCTCCAGAGGTGGGGTGCCCTCTCTCCCTCAGTTTCTTTTTTGCCACCACGTGGACAGGAGCTTCCCAGTTTAGCTGCTCAGATTGTTTTTTCTAGAATGTCCTTTTGCTTTGAGGATTCCACCTAGCCTCATTTCAGAAAGAGTGTCTTCCCTTTTTCTGATGAGAGATTGTTTCAACTGGGTGAAGTAACTCTTGTTGACCTACCCTTGGTTTTCCTACCCTGCTGCTTGTGGTCCTGAAATGGCGTCCAAGGCACTCTTCAAAAAATGCACGAAATGTGCGACAAAAATGACCCACAGTGATGAGCACTAACTTTGTCTCATCTGTTTGGAAGAATTACATAACATAGTCGCTTGCAAGATTTGCCAGGGCTTCACACCTAAGGCCCGTTTGGATAGAGTGTAACTTTTGAAGGCTGCCCTATGGGAGAAGTTTCTTTCGACATCAGGCCTGTCCAGGTTGAGATCCAGCATCAGAACCTTTGAAACCTTCTCCTTCGAACCAGTCAACCTCTTAGGTTCTGGCACCGGAGTCCTATTCCAGACCACTGTCATTTCAATCGGTCCAAACGGCTCCTGCATCTAAACAGACTTCACGCCTGACTAAGAGGTCTTCGTCAATCAACCCTGCCTTGGAGCCAGGACTTCCTCAGTCCCCATCTACAGTCTCAGCTCGTCCATCAGAACTGCCAACCAAAAAACAAAAGAAAACAAAACGTAAGGAGAATAGTACATATCAACATGTCTCCCAGGGCTATTCATATAGCAGGAATCCTGAATATCAAGGCTGACAACCTGAGCAGGGTTTGTCTCACAAATGGTCAATTCAACCCAAGTATCTCCAGGGAGTTTTCAAGAAGTGGGGTACTCCTCAGGTGGATCTGTTCACCACATGTGAGATGAGGAAGGCACAGTTCTGTTCCCTTGTTGGCAGTGATCCAGCTTTGTTTGGGGATGCATTTCAAATCCAGTGATCAGGGACCCTGTTTTCCCTCCCTTCCCCCTCCTGAGTAGGGTCATAGGGAAGCTGATAGCAGAGGGCTCAGACTGTATTCTGATAGCCCCCTTTTGGCCTCACCAAGTCTGGTTCTCCAAACTCCTCTGCCTTACAAAGTTGGAGTACATCACCCTCACCCCAGTCCCAGATTTTTTGATAAGGGGAGCTATTCTGCGTCACAGTGTGACCTTCTTGCATCTTACAGCGTGGAGAATACACCCATAGGGTCACAGTCCTCACCAGAGGTGTGCAGTACCTAGTTCAGGCTAGGAATCACTCCGCCCAGGTATTCCTATTCTAGGAAGTGGGTTCATTTTGAGTATTTGTTCTGCTCCAAGGGACTGTCACCTTTTACCTGTCCTTTACCCATTGTGTTGGAATATTTGCTTTCCTTATCTTCTGAGGGGCTAGCTGTTTCATTGGTAAAGGTATGCTTTTTTAATTATTATTATTATTTTTATTAACTCTCCTAAAAAGGAGAGAATTTATTGCTTTTAATATCAGAAAGGGGGAGGGTATATAGCTGGACTAAGAAAAGTTTGAGTGATGCTCTATTAGTATGTTAATCTTTTGTTAGTATTAATCAAATCTTCTTTTGGCTTCTTCTGTGAGTTGTCAATCGTCTTTCATCTTAACCTGTGAAAAACAAATATAAATGTTAATGTATTAGTAGTGTCCCTTTGGTTTATTGTTAATAAAGTCTTTTCATGCGCTTTCCGAACCAATCTTCAAGTTTTGGGCTGCCTTCCTTTTATGTCTCTCAGGTTATAGGATGGACCTTTCCCTGCTCCTTCATCTTCCGGAGTCTTGTCCCCCGCTGTCACTTTCACTGTTTATTTCTTCCCATCTGGCAAGTGCTGCCTCCTCTGAGCTGGCGTGTCTCTTCAGAAAGTCTTGAGCTTTGACAATGGAGTCAATCTTCTCCCTTTTATCTTTAAATTTGAAGATAAGTCCTTCTGGAATCAACCATTGATAGCTAATTTGGTGATTTTGCAAGAATAAGGTCAATCCTTTATAAGCCTTCCTCTTCATTCGAATTTCAAATGGAACATCCTTCAAAATTCTGATTGTCTGCTCTCCAATTTTCATAGGCGTTGATGAAGATGCTCTCAGTATTTGATCCCGACTTCTCTGCTTTGTAAACTTGACTACCACTTCTGCCGGCAGATTATTCGTCTTTGTAAAGTTGGAATAGGCTCTGTAAACCAGATCCATTTCCTCGCTTATTTTTTCCGCTTCTCTGCCGGTGAGTGATGCCAAAGCTTCCGCTAAAATACTTCGGAGATCTTCTTTTTCCAGTTCTTTTATGCCTTGAAATCGGAGAGTCAAGTTTGATTTTTCCATTTGAAGCATCAATAACTTTTTATACATACATACATATTTGATTTCTATACCGCCCATTACCCCCAATGGGTCTCAGAGCTTGCATTTCTTGATGTTTTCCCATTTTCACCACCTTCTTCTTGACCTTTTGAGTATCTTCTGCTGAGACCAGGCATTTTTGCGCGATTTCCTCCATTTTCTTAGCTGTATCATTCAACTGGATCTGCTGGTTACTGAGAACTTGCTTGTCAATGTCTGATTTATTTTTTGCATTTGCTCCAGCAGAGGGCGCAAAAGCTCGCTCTCCTGTTGAGTGACAGCCGGCTCCAAGGGGCGGGAGCCAGCACCAGAAGTTCCTCCCAGCTTCTTTGCCGGCTTCTCCTGAAACTTTTTCTGCCCCGACATCTTTGTTTTATTGTTTACTTTTTAAAAGTTCGTGCCGCGCAGCCAACAAATGAGTCTATCTGTTTTCCTTTCAACAATTCACCAAAAGGTAACACCACTCTTTTAAAGTTTCACTTCCCCCCTCTTCTTTCTGTTAAATCATTCTCTGTTTAATCGGGGGGGGGACTCTCCCCCTCCTCCCTTGCGCTTTTTCGTTGGGGGGAATGCGCTTCACCCTTTTTCCCGTTCTTGATCGGCAACTCACAGTTTTGGCTGAATTTCTTCCATTTAAACACTTTTCCGCTTCATCACTCGGTGACGTCTGGCGGCTCTGCTAGTCCCCGTGCGGGGCACTGCCGCGGCAAGAGCCATTGGGGCATGGGGCGAGCCTCAATTTCCGACCTTCGGGCCGGGAAAGAGGCACATCCCCTGTGCGTCCCGGATTGGAACCTCCGTCTGAGGTTCCTTAGGGTCTCCGCTTGTGTGGATTCCTCCTTTTAGCCGCGCGTGGGCGAATCGCCTCCGGGAGCTTCCCGAAGTTGTGACTGCCATTCACAGAGTCCAAACCAGAAGCCTCATTGGTAAAGGTATGCTTAACGGCCATTTCAGCATATCATGAGGGTGTAGAAGGATCATCCCTGTTTGTCCATAAACTGTTAATTTCCATAAAGGCCTTCTCAATGTGTTTCTCCCCACTCCTCACATTGTGCCACAGTGGTTTCTCTCCCTGGTTTTGGCTCAGTTAATGAAGCCATCCTTTGAGCCTTTGGCTTCGTGCCAATTAGCCTTGCTCTCCAGAAAGATAGCTTTCCACGTAACTGTTACATCAGCCAGGATGGTGAGCCAGTTAGCAGCCCTGAGGGTGGATCCCCTGTTCTTTAAAGTTTTCAATGAGAAGGCAGTGCTTCACCCTAGTTTAATTTTCTTTCCAAAGGCAGTTTCTCAGTTTCACCTGGCACAGGAGATTGTGCTACCAGTGTTCTTTCCATTCCCAGATTCTAGGGATGAGAGAGCACTTTGCAGTCTGGGTGTTCGAAGGGCTTCATTATACTACATTGAGAGGACAAAGCCATTTTGTGTGGATAAGTCCTTGTTCATTTGTTGCTGGGGCCCAAAGAAGGGTCATAGGGATCCCTCTCTAGGTGGGTCATAGCTGCCACCCATTACTGTTACGAGGCAGCTGGTCAAAGGTGCCTGCTAGAGGTTAAGACACATTCCATGAGAGCACAAGATTTCTCAGCTGCAGTCCATAGGAGGGTTCCCCTGGTGGCCATATGTAAAGCTGCTACATGGTCAGAGGAAAACACATTCATTAAGCATTATGTGTTGGATCTGCAAGCGAGGAGAGATGGAGATATGGGCAAGACTGTTCTCCCGTCACTGTTCCAGTGAGAGCCTCACTCTGCCTCTTTAGGTGAGTAGCTTGCTAATGTCCCAGTCTGGGGCTGCACTGAAGACAGAAGATGATATTGACATCTTTTGTGCAGACACAAATTCCCTCCCTCCCTGCTGTGTGCTCTCACATTCTGTGCTTGGTAGTGGTTTGCTTGTGGCAGCCCAGTAGGAAGTGAGGGAGAGAGGGTGCCCTGCCTCTGGAGCAAGTGACGGTTTGGGGGCAGGAACGAACATTTACATCTGTCCGGGGGGGGGGGGGGACACACCCTCAGAGGGCTTTTTAGTAGGAAAAAAATATTCGTGGCCTGTACAAGCGCAGTCCCAATGGGCGTCTGCACAGAAGACATTGATGAACAACAGTTACAGCTAAGTGCAACTGTTTTCCTATGCCTTTCTCACTATCTTTTAACTGATAGATGCAGTGATTCTAGACCTCAGATAACTTGCATTATTTAACTGTCTTCCTTTTGTGTTGTTAGTGTCAGCGTGTACCCAGTTTAAATGGAAAACAGTTTTTACATGTGAAGATTAAATAGAATTTTTTTTAAAAGGTGCAGAATTCCTTTACAATATTTTAAAGTCCACCTGGTCAGAACAATAAGGGATGAATATATTACTCCAGCTCCACCTTAATTATGATTCGCTCCATCTTTAACACATGGATTTTGCTCCACTGGATTTCCATTGAATGTCACAGAACCTCAGGGAGCAAAACTCAAGGATCAAAGAGAGAATGCTTGTTCCCATTTCTCCCATCTGCAAAATGTACCTTGGTGTTGCCACATAAAATAACATCAGTGAAATAATAAAAGCCCCTTCAAAGGCAACTTTTATTTGCTTTAAAATGTAGCACTTAAGCATACGATTTTCAGCATGAAAGAAGTTAATTTTGAGTGGATTTCTAATTGTTATTGTTGCTTCCATGATACAAATGAGAATGCCCTTTAGTACCATAGAAAGAACAAAAAAAACCTGAAACCTTTCGAAATAAGCCCTTTTTGTGCCAAAATCTGAAAAATTAAATGTGGGTTTAGACACACAGATGGCTAATTTTGTAGGACTTTGTTTCTTCTAATGTCTTTTTTATGATATGGAAGAATGTACCTATGTACTTCAGTACCACAGAAATACAAAAGTAACACAGACCTCATCAAGATGAGCACTTAGTTTTGAATTGTTTCCCCCCTGTCTTTATTTCTCTTTTACAACACCCAGATATGCTTTTCTGGAGAGTTTTGAATGTTTTTGTTACATACAGATGTGTGCTTCTCTGAGACATTAAAGCAGTCTTGTCTCTAGCTCCCATAGCCAGTTTGGCGTTGTGGTTAAGTGCGCGGACTCTAATCTGGGAGAACCAGGTTTGATTCCCCACTCCTCCACTTGCACCTGCCGGATGACCTTGGGCAAGCCATAGTTCTGGCAGAGGTGTTCTTGAAAAAGAGCAGTTTCTGTCAGAGCTCTCTCAGCCCCACCTACCTCACAGGGTGTCTGTTGTGGGGAGGGGAAGGGAAAGGAGTTTGTAAGCCGCTCTGAGACACCTTTGGATAGTGGAGGGTGGGGTATAAATCCAATCTCTTCCTCTTCCCTTCTTCAGTCAACATGAACATTAGGGGAAAATTAAAACAGAAAAAATTGTGAGTCTTCAGACTGTTCATCAGTTCTCCAGTAGGTTTCAGTCCAAAGACCAGTCCAATGGTTGGGAAGCAACATCTGATTTACAAAATCTGTTCTAATAGGATAATATGGGCACCCCTAGCAAATACTAATTGTCTGAAATCTTCTGTGTGAACTCAAGTAGCCAATCAGGTGGTTGCTTACAAGTGCATAATATAGAAAGCCGTGCTAACTCGTTTTCTTTTCTTCTTCTTCTTTTAGTGGAAGAGGATGTTGGGTTGATAATGATTCCAGTATTGCGAAGACGTGGGAATTATGGTTATGTGACTGCAGATTACGTATCTAGAAGTGTTTCAGCTCTTCCTGATGGTGTTGACTATCATATTACAAATAACTCAATCACTTTTTATCATGGCCAAAACCAGAGTTTTATCAATGTTTTAATCATCAATGATGATGAAAGGTGATGACATTAATACTGGTTGAATAGCCAATAATACTTGTTGCTAGCCAATAATAATTCAAAAATTTTGCATCAGGCTTTTTAGGTGATATTTACTGGAATTTATGATTATACAAAATGGGTAAGGCAGCCACAAAAGTATGAGAATACCCAATGCTTGTGCTGGAAAAATAATCTGTGTTTCAACTGTGTAGGAATTATTGAGATTGCAAAATTGAAAATTACCATTACTGAAGTCTGCCTCTTTGCTTTCAAAATTTTCCCCCTGTATTTCTTACTTGAAGAAATCAAATGTAGTGGCCATGTATCTATTAATAACTCTTACATTTCTGTTTTTAGCCTGCAAATCTTCCAGCAGTCTTGAGGAAGCATACCCAGTTTTCTTTTCTTCTGTTTTATTCTTACAAAAAACCTGTGAGGTAGACTACATACACACACACACAAAACCTGCATATTTATTTTGGACTATGCACTGCCTTTTATCTCCATTTCCCAGTTTGGTGTAGTGGTTAAGTGTGTGAACTCTAATCTGGGAGAACCGGGTTTGATTCCCCACTCCTCCACTTGCACCTGCTGATGTGACCTTGGGTCAGTTGCAAGCTCTGAAACAGCTGTCCTTGAAAAGGAGCAGTTTGTGTCAGAGTTCTCTCAGCCCCACCCACCTCACAGGGTGTCTGTTGTGGGGAGGGGAAGGGAAAGGAGTTTGTAAGCCGCTCTGAGGCTCCAAGTGAAGGGCGGGGTATAAATCCAATCTCTTCTTCTTCTTCCATTTGCTTAAGTCTGGAGAATTAATCTTGAATATATACAAGTTATGTAGCAAATCAACAGACCTTCAGATTTCAGTGATAACAACACTTCAATGGACAGGTCATATTTGTCAGCAAAACACAGCATTTTCTCCTGTCTCTGGAACAGGGAATATGATGAACAGTTTGAAATCCATCTGGTAGGAGCCAGTGGAGGAGCAGTCCTTGGGCTCCACCTAGTGAGCCAAATAACCATCACTAAGAGTGACTCTCCACATGGGACTGTCAGATTCCTCAACCACAGCCGAATAATTCTTCCCAATCCTAATGTGTCATTGACGCTGTCCTTGGTGCTGGAAAGAACTGGAGGATTGGTAGGAGATACTCAGGTATGCTCTTTTGTCTACAATTTATTTTTGTACTCATGGACTGTTTTGATAGCAGTATGTATACTTACTGATGAAATTATCCCTTCCTAATTGAAGCCTCCATACCAGATTGTGTGTTTTTACAGAGGCGTCATTTCTGGCCCTCTGCAGCTAATAAGATTTAGGAAGAATTCTCCTAGTTCAACATGGATTGGTATATGGAAGGGCTTCAGTTGAATTAGTATCTGTGCATCGTACAGGCGGATTTGAACGGCATCATGATTAAATTAACTCCCAGATACTATCCAACCTTTTAATTTGAGTTTTTGCCAAGGAAGTATATATCTTTAATTTTAGTACATCAGCAAGAAAAGTGACCAGTTGAGGTAAATAATTGGCAATATTCAAGAGACCCTACTGCAGACTTCTTTAGTCCTCATCCAGTTAGCACTTGTGAGGACATGTACCAGTTGTAACATTTTATTTGTACTGTTACATTTTAATGATACTAACAAGTGCTACCTTTATGTTATGTCATTGACAGGTTAATTGGGACATTTTAGGACCCAATTCAGAGGTAGTTCTGCCTGCCTTAAACAGTGACATTGGTGACCCAGTGAATGGATCTTTCTATTTTGAAGAAGGAGAAGAAGGTCTGAGAAGCATCAACTTGGAAATTTATCCTCCTGAAGATGTTGAAGTTCAGGAGACCTATATTATTAGGCTGAATGTTGTAAAGGGAGAAACGGAACTAGATCCCAAGGCTGCCAGCATTACACTAATTGTAAATCATATCATTTTTGTTTGGTTTCTAATATGTCTGTAGCACTTTCCTGCCCTGCAATAAGTACTGTAATTGCTGGAGGCTGTTTAGCAATGTAATTAAATGCAAATAAGTGGATAACTTTGAGGACCTATATGACTGAAAAGGAGGCATATCCAAAATAAATTCCTTTCAGCATATTGAAAAACTGGTGCTCCATCCAGTTCTCCTGATCATTGCCTAGGTTTGTGTTAGACAATGGACTGGATCCACCAGATCCGTAAATGCCAAGGATCATGGATCTTTCCCTCTTGCCCACCCAAAGGTCACATGGACTGGGAGGCTATAGTGGGGAGCAGTGTTCCCTTTAAGCTGAGTAAGTGTGAGCTAGCTCACAGTTTTTTAGCCTCCGGCTCACACATTTTTTGTCTTAGCTCAGGAAGGATGGTTCCAGAGCAAACTCATTTGTGCAGTAGCCCAATTGCTCGCTCACAACTTTAATGGCAGTAGCTCATAAAGTAGAATTTTTGCTCACAGGACTCCATAGCTTAGAGGGAGCATTGGTGGGGAGGAGCAGTGGAATCAAATAGTTCTCTTGTCCCCCTTCCAACAGCAGAGCTGCTCTGATGGAAAAGGCAGAATGGGAGATTCCTTCCCTGTCCTTTCCCACTGCAGCTTCCTCACCTGCTTGGGTGTTAGTCCAAGAACTCTCAGAGAACTGGAATGGACTGCTGGGGTGGGGAGTATATGAAAGGTCTACAGCCACCAGCACTACTAGCAGGGTCTCTCACTTTTTCCTAATTAACAGCCCCACATAAACACTTTCAAGACTGGGGAAATAACACTGGGAAGAGAGTGTGTGTTCCCCTTTACCCATGTGCCATTTCTTTAATGCAGTCACCTCGTTTAGCTGCAATTAGCTATGGGCATGGGGGACAGGGAATAAAGGGACTGCAAAAGACAGCCTGAAAAACAGCTGAGTGGTATGGAGGCCTCCCGGCCACTCAGCTGTTTTTGTGGCTTTCACAGGGAACAGAAGCATGGGTTTAAAGGGACTCAGAGTCCCTTTAAACCTCTGCTTTCTGATCCATCCATGAACCACCACAAACTGCCTTAAAAGTTCATGGACATTTGTGATGGTAGACCCATCACAAACTTTTTTGCAAACCACAAAAAGGGAAAAATTCATGATGGCTTCATGGTTCGGTTCATGCCCATCCCTACTTGTAATATCACAAAATCCTATTGAAGCTCCCTTCGACTTTCACATGTAATTTTTTCCATGTGGCATGGGGGCGAGGCCAACAAACTAAAGTCTGCTTTCCTTTTGGCCGAATTAGTGCCATGATTCTTAATTTCGTGATGAACGTGAATTAATATATCACAAGTTTCAGCTTGAATTGTTTGAATTTTCTTTTTTCAATCCCACAAAGTAGGGAAACCAGTTATGATCAATGTGCTATTTTATAGCTTTGCATGTTGTGTTTCTTTTTAGATTCAAAAATTTGGTGATCCCAATGGGATTGTGCAGTTCACTCCAGAATCGTTATCCCCAAAATACTACCAAGAGCCATCAGAATCAGAAGGACCGCTGAACATTGTGCTTTTCGTAATGCGAATTCAAGGCACTACAGGGAACATCACGGTAATTTTTCTTTGGTCCTTTGCTGCTCACAACATTGCAATTTCAGTTCTTTGAAAGTCAGAGCCTTCAATATAGAATAGATGGCATATAAGGAGTTTACTTGTCTTTCAGAAAAATGTGTTTGTTTATAGCTGACCCTTGCTGATTTATCTAAGAGCCTAGGGGTTATAATGGACAGCATTACTGCTGGATGCAGCCACCCCCCCAAAAAAAATCTTCCCACTTAGTTTAGGCTGGAAGACGGTCCCCTAATTTGAAGTGGTAGTTCTGGCCCCCTGGGTCGACACCACAGCAATATCAAGACTAACTGTTGTAATGCACTGTACATGGGTCTCCCCTCAAAGTCAGCTTGGAGACTCCAGTTGGTACAGAATGCCGTAGCTTGGTTGTTATCAGGAGCCAGCTGGAGCATGCATATTAGAGACATTCTGCATTGGCTGCTCATAAGTTACTGGGTTCAATACAGGATACTGACTATCACATACAAAGCCCTGTATGGCCTTGGTTCCTCATATCTGCAAGACTGCCTATCCTGGTATGTTCTGCAGTGACTTCGCTCATCTGATCAGGGCCTTCTGCACATGTCACCCTGTAAATGTGCAAGATCAAAAACTGTAGTAGCTTCCACCTTGTGGAATGGCCTCCCTGAGGAGGTCAGGAAAGCTTCCAAGCTTCTGTCATTTCACAAATTATTTAAACAGGAAGGCATTTTTATAAAGGTAATAGGGTTATGTTATAATGGAATGGTTCATGAAGATGTTTTAATATCTATGTATTGTTTATTTGTGTACCTATGTGTCTCTGTTCTATATATTACCCTGCTCTCACTGCATTGCTTTCTACTTGTGTAATACCATTCTCTGTATTCTTTAACATACTATATCTAATACTTGATGCTTTCAGATTTCTGTAGTCCAGTCCTATTACACTGCTTATTAAATGTCTCATCCTATTGATTATGTTCACTTACTTTTTGGAATCCACCTTGAGTTTCAGTGAGAAACTCGACTATAAATAATGTAAATAACTGTATATTTTTGTGAAGAGATTATTTTCAGATTAAAATGAACTCTGAGTCATATGTAAAATGTATGTGAGTGTCTTATTTGGTTTTGAATATACTGGCTTACCATCTTGGCTTATTTTAGGTTCACTGGGAACTGAGTAGTGATTCTGATACTACAAATGATTTCCTCATAACCAGCAGCTCTGTCATCATTCTTGATCAGCAGAGGACAACTGAAATTGTTATTCCCTTATTGCCTGATGATGTTCCTGAAATAGATGAGGATTATGTGGTACGGCTGACTTCAGTGGAAGGAGGAGCTGATGTGGACTGGGAGAAAAGTACTTCTAGATTCACTGTTTTTGCAAATGATGAACCCCATGGAGTATTTGCCTTGTATTCTGAAAAGCAGTCAGTAGTGGTAGAGGAAGACCTGAGCCGACACATCCAGATTAATGTAACACGGCATGCCGGGACCTTGTCAGATGTGATTGTAGAGTATCAGATCTCATCTTCCAGTCAAGAACAGCTAATCACCCCTATCAATACAGTAGGACATTTGCTAGTTAAAGAAGGTTCCAGTTATGGAGTGAAGACAGTGCCAATACATCCCCAGGTCTGTAACTTCTTATCACCTTGTAAGACCATTGTTTGGGTTGATACCTATATCACTTTTAGAAACAGAATTATTCTGGAAGAAGGGAAACTTAAACATGTGCATGATGGGGGTACCTGTAGATATGCCAGAATTTCCATTCTCGCAGAGAAGAATAGAAAATCTCTTGCTTCCAATGAAGTCATATAGTTTGCAAAGACTTGAGAAGCAACCTTTCCTGTATTTGTTTCTGATGAGCAAATAGGTCTTTTTGAAGGAAACCAACAATATTAAGCTTTTTACCTGTAACTACATATTTTCCTGGTCTGAGTCTGTAAAATCACAGCCTTTTGCTAAAGAGTATTCTCTTAATAGCAACTAACAGATTTTTAAAATTAAAACATTCTAGAAAGAACAGAGTTTTTAAAATATGATAAAGGAAATCAGAATAGCTGTTCAAGTCAGGAAATTTTTTTTAAAAAACAATCATCTCAGGAAATCTTGTCCACAGCCTTTGGACTATTTTCTGTACCTTAATGCACACCTGAGGGTGTGCTTCACTCACTTCTGATTTCATAATCTGAGTATTCTTATCTGCAATTATTTTGGGAAAATATTTGTAAAACTGTGTTCTAAAACTGGCCTTACTGAACGAGAATTTTGCAGATATGCTGATTTGAAAGCCTTATTCATAAGTACTGAGGACAGTCATATAAGTGATTTTCTTTTCAAGGTATTTCTCTTCCTGGGTTTGAATTTCACTCTGGAATTGAACAACGTAAGCCTATTTAATGGCCATGCCAATATTGTGCCTAAAATACTAGAGACAGCAATTTCAGTCTCTCTTCCAGTTCCCAAGGAAGCTGCCAATTCTCAGGTATGAGCCTTATTGTAAATAGTTATACCAATGGAGGGCAGAGCAAACTCAGTAATACAGATACATAAGTGATATTAAAATGAATGTGATGACTAACAATGTTCTCTGATTGTCAGGTACTGAAATATTTGAATTAGTTATAATCATACCCACTCGTAAAATTGGAGAGAAATACTTGTTTAATGTTTGTCTGCTGTGCATTTAGGATATCCCATATAGGAAAACCAGAACTGCAGAATCTATCATGGAACATATTCCATTATTTTCTGTTTTCAAAAGTAGAATTCTGGTAGGGTATTTTCCCCTTACTTTTAGAAAATATAAGATGATGTTTTTTATTACACACTTCCAAATCTGTCAGCCACTTCAGTGAGTTTCTCATTAGATATCATTAGACTATGCAAGAGCAGAAAAAAAATCCGTAACATTTTATTTTCTTCCTCTGCATGTAGCTTTTTGGGTGCATAATTTTGCAGTAATAAAGGAATCATGCTCTGTATGGAAGAATACCTTGTAATGAGAACACAAAATATTTCTAGCTAAAAAACTTGGAATTTGGGGATTTATATTTGTTTAAAAAGTAATATCTGATACTCAACTGGTAACAATATTCCATATATGATAATTTGATATACATGAATCTAAATTTATTTTAAACTAGGAATAAGGCCCATTGTGGAAATAAGTACAATGAGCTCTAGAAAGAGGCTCTGGGTGGGTGTCCTGGCCTTGGGCACTCAGTGTCAATTTGCTGTGGTGACCTCAGCAGGGTATAATGACACCATTTTCTCCAGGGGAACTGATCTCTGCCTCCTGAAGAACAGTTGTAATTGAGTGATCTCCAGTCCTCACCTGGAGATTGACAACAGTGGTTCCCCAGGAGGAAATGGCTGGTTTGGATGGTGGTGTCTATGGCATTGTACCTGTCTGAGGTCCCACCCCTCCTCAAACCCCACCCTCTCCAGGCTCCAACCCTCAAATCTCCAGAAATTTTCCAACCTGGAGTTGGCAACCCTGTCTCCTTCCCAGCCAACTTTATCTGCCCCTCTGACTTCAGTTTTCCATCTCCTTCCCCCTCATAAGGACATAAGAGAAGCCAATGTTGGATCAGGCCAATGGCCCATCCAGTCCAACACTCTGTCACATAGTGGCCAAAAATACCAGGTGCCATCAGGAGGTCCATCAGTCTCCAGCCCTCTCCTGGAGATTGGCAACAGTGGTTATCCAGGAGGAAATGGCTGGTTTGGAGGGTGGAGTCCATGGCATTGTACCTGTCTGAGGTCCCACCCCTCCTCAAACCCCATCCTCTCCAGGTTCCACCCCTCAGATCTCCAGGAATTTCCCAACCTGGAGGTGGCAACCCTATTTCCTTCCCAGCCAACCATCAACCCACCGTTATCTGCACCTCTGACTTCAGGTTTTCATCTCCTCCCCCCTCCCTACAGCCTCTACCTAGGAAGAGTACAGTCTTTCTCTGCAGTAAGGACCAAAGTAGCTCACATCATTCTCCTCTCCCTCTTTTGATCTGCACAACAACCCTGTGAGACAGGATAGGCTGAAAGTCTGTGTCTGGTCTAAAATCACCCACTCAGCTTCCATAGGAAGAACCTGGGTCTGGCAGACCCTGCTCTAAAGCACTAACTGCTATGTCACACTGGCTGTCATAGGGAGGCCACCTCAGCAAAGTATTATGACACATAGTGCACCATTTTCTCCAGGGGAACTGATCTCTGCCATCTGGAGAGCAGTTGTAATTCTGAGTGATCTCCAGCCATCACCTGGAGATTGGCAACAATGATTCCCCAGGAGAAAAAGTAATCTTTCTCCACAGTGGGGTCCAAAGCAGCTTACATCATTCTCCCCTCTCCCTTTTGATCTGCACAACATCCCTGTGAGGTAGGTTAGGCTGAAAGTCTGAAATCACTCACTCAGCTTCCACAGCAAGAACCTGGGTATGGTAGACCCTGCTCTAAAGTGCTGCTATGCCACAGTGGCTGTGGTATTGCCTGGTATCACAACTGAACTCCAGACAAGAGATTTCTCTCTCTCCCTGGAGAAAATAACTGTTTTGGAGGGTGGACTCTATGGCACTCTATTCAGCTGAGGCCCCTCCCCTCCCCAAACTCTTGCTTCCGTAGACTCCACCACAAAATCTCCAAAAATTTCCAAACCTGGAGCTGGCAACCCTAGTTCCCCACAAAGGCCAAAGTAGGCCTGGAAAGGGCCTCCTCCCCCTACCTTTTTACTGACAGAACCAAGCTTGGTTGCCTAGCAGAAGCCACTGAGGGGAAAATTAGCCCCACAGCAGCAGGAGAAGAGAATGGTATGGCTGCTGCCCACCTCAGTAGCCAGCCAGGCACGGAGGAGCCAAGCAGTAAAAGCATCTTTTTCGGGAGAGACAGCTATTTTTTCAGTTTATTCTGACAAGGAAGAGAAGCCAAGCCAGCAGTGGGCAGAGGAGAGGAGCAGACCCAGCCCCCAGCCAATGACATATGAGTACTCTTGAGTGGTAGTTGACAGGACAATGGCTGATGGAGTGCAAGCACAGCCAATGGGAGAGCCGGAAAGTGCCAATACGTTGGATGTGTGTGTGTGTGTGTGTGTATATATGAGATCACATTGCTGTTGCCAGCAAAATAACAGTCAAGAACATGTAAAATTGTACATTTTTATCAGTAATGTTCTTTTTTCTCTTTTGGTAGGTTGCCTTCGATTCTCTTCTGTTACGAGTTAGAAATATCACAACAGGCCTAACTCAAGCTCTGATAACTCGGGAAGGAGTATATGGCTCGATCACAGTAATTTGGACTTCTGGATATCCACTTGGCGCTGTTCCGGAGTTCCTTCGTCCAGGCAACATTACACCAGCATCTGGTGAGAACTTTTATTTTGTCCCATCCCAAAGAGAGACTAACACCACGGAATATGACTTTTGTTGGGGACATTAGGAAAGAACTTTCTCCTAGACAGATACACACAGTTGCACAGCCCTCTCAGGGGAACTGTAGTAAAGCTGTGTAAATTAAACACAGGTGAAAATCCAAATTGATAGGATGGAGTGTATTTTTCCTTAATCTAGAAAAATCTTTTTTTTAAGGAGCTTCTTTAGAGTGAACCAGATCAAGGTTTCTCTAACTTATTATTCATTTTTCTATCCAGCGGCATAGTTGCAGGCTTATGTTTTTCCTGGCATTACTACTGACAATTGTTAACCAGAGATGCCTGGGTGATACTCTTGGACCTTTTACATGGGACATGTACATTTGCTCCTCATTTTTCCTGGAAGCTTTAAACTTCAAGGATCATATAATTATTGTCCCTTTTCCTTGCCCAAATGCCAAAGGTCTTCCTGAAAGTAAGTTGGCCTCCTCAGGATCCTGACCACTTCATTTTTTGTGTGTGTTAGAAGAAGAAGGTTCTTTTAGCACTAGCATAAAGAGAGAATATTCCTACTTTCAGTGCTGGAAACAAGTAGGGATATGCATTTGGCCTGTACTGAGCCAAAAAAATATCTAAGAAAATACCTTATAGGCAATGCTCCCTCTAAGCTATGGAATCTTGAGAGCAAAAATTCTACTTTGTGAGCTGCTGGCATTAGTTGTGAGCAAGCGATTTGGCTACTGCATAAATTAGTTTGCTCTGGAGCCATCCTTCCTGAGCCAAGACAAAAATGTGTGAGCCGGAGGCTAAAAAACTGAGCTGGCTCACACTAACTCAGTTTAGAGGGAAAACTGCTTATAGGTATTTTCTTGGTATTTTTCCAACCACATATAGAGCCCAGTATTTATTTGACTATCTGAAAATGGCCGTGGGATTTTTCAGGACCACCGAATAGCCTTCTGGGTGAACTCGCTACTGTAAAATGGACTGTTAAATAGGAATAAACAAGAGGGGGGCCCGCGATACTCGCAGGGGGGGAGGAAGCAGCAGGAGTAGGGAAGTCGGCGCTGCTCTCTCTCCCTTCCCTCCGGCCCTCGCTACTATTAGGGCCCGGCAGGGGCTCGGCCACCTCGCGGCTTGGCGGGCTCAACCTGTTGCAAGTAGGTACGTGGGGTGAGGGGCGAGCCAGTGTGGGGCTGCCCCTCGCTACTCTCCCCACCCCGGCTCCGAGCCAAGCGCTCGGCCCTCGCCGCTCTGCCCCCCCCTGCTCACCGTTCCCCTCGCAAGTGGCAGCGGCCTTCACAGTGTGTTCCGTGTACATGCGCACGGAACGCTCTGGCACTTTCGGGGGGATTTAAACATCCCCCCAATTTTTTTCCCAACATTTAGCATTTTTGTGCACACGTGGGGACTGCCCCACGTGTGCACAAACCTCTCCCTGCCCCACAAGTGGCCCCGGAGCGCGGATTTAGATATCCGCACAGATGGGGCTACTTGGCTATTAGATATATAGATTGAATATTATCAAATTACTCGCCTTTTCCTTTTTATCTTTCTTTTTCTAGGCACTGTTACCTTTTCTCATGGTGAACCAAGCAGAGCAATTGTATTTCATGTTACTCCAAACCCAAGTAGTCCAGAGGCATTTGCTGTGCATCTGTCAGAAATGCATAGCAATGTATCTGGTGGAGTTCGGCTGAGGTAAGAAAACTACTGGTTGGTTGTGTGTTGCTCAGTAGCAGCTGTACGCAGGCAATAAAAAAACCTCTCCTGATCTCTTTTAGTTATTTAATCATACTTGTATCCCTGTCTTCATCTCAGGAGCTCAGAGCAGTGTATGCTGGTGATTGCCAGGTGGACTCCAAAACTTGCAGCTTTATAGGGTCAGGCTTGCTTAGAGATAGAACTATATGTTATGAGTAAGTTGCATGATTCCTTTCCCCATACGAAATGCTTAGTATGGATTTCAGGTGCTTTAGGTAAAGTAAAGGTAAAGGTTTCCCTTGCTCAAAAGCCAGTCAAGTCTGACTCTAGGGGGCGGTGCTCATCTCCATTCCCAACCCGAAGAGCCAGCACTGTCTGAAGACATTTCTGGGGTCATGTGGCTGGTGTGACTGAACACTGAGGCACACGGAATGCTGTTTCCTTCCCACCGAAGCGGTACCTATTTATCTACTTGCAATTTCTTGCTTTCAAACCGCTGGGTTGGCAGGAGCTGGGGCCAGAGATGGGAGCTCACTCTGTCACGCAGCACTAGGGTTTTGAACTGTCGAACTACAGACTTTCCAATCTGCAGCTCAGCATCTTAAGCCTGGCTGAGCCACCATGGCCCCTTTCAGGTGCTTTAGGAAACGGAAATATCCTACAAGTTCTTGGGATGTTGAGTTAGCAGCATTGCAAGCCACAGGGAAGGAGGTGAGGGGAGAGAGAGAACTCCCTCTGTCTTTTTGCATCACTGTCAAAGCAGTAATGCAGCAGCCAGGGAATTGGAAGGGTGAAGTGGAGTAATCAAACTGAAGGTGCATTTTTGGGTTGACTAGGTTTGCATACCAATGCAAGAAATTACAAACTTTGGTGATGGTACTTATCTATATCTGATAGTAGATAGACTGTGAGTTGTATCCCAACTAGGTTTCTCTGCAGGCTCAGACTCACAATGAAACATGCAAAGGCACAATCATGAAGTATAAGTTTCCTGTTGCCTCTGTCCCTCAGAAGTCCAGAATGCCACCTGAAATGCTGTTGGGGGGACATGGGACCTCGATGGACAGGATTTCATAGGGCATTTCAGGCAACCATGGGATTGGGGAAATTATGCTCCATTATTAGATGTCCTTGTGCCTGGTTGGGCTCCAGGCCCATATCTATGTCTTAGATATGTTCAACCTGAAAGAAGACTAAGATGAATTGATGCATTCAAGGTGCAGATTTTTCCATTTTGCACACTAGACTTGATTTGGCTTCAGCTGTTGCAGAAGGCAAAGCTCTGATATATGAATCATAGAATCATAGAGTTGGAAGGGACCACCAGGGTCTTCTAGTCCAACCCCCTGCACAATGCAGGAAATTCACAAATACCTCCCCTCCACCCCCAGTGACTGCTGTTCCATGCCCAGAAGATGTCAAAAAAGCCCCTCCAGGATCTCCAGTCAAACTCGCCTGGAGAAAATTGCTTCCTGACCCCAAAGGGGCAATCAGCATTTCCCAGGGCATGTAAGAAAGGGCCACAAGAACTAAGTTCTGATGCAACCCTTCCTGCCCTCCCTCTCATGATCTGCCTAAGTTCACAGAATCAGCATTGCTGTCAGATGGCCATCTAGCCTCTGTTTGAAAACCTCCAAAGAAGGAGAGCCCACCGCCTCCTGAGGAAGCCTGTTCCACTGAGGAACCACTCTAACTGTCAGGAAGTTCTTCCTAATGTTTAGCTGAAAACTCTTCTGATTTAATTTCAACCTGTTGGTTCTGGTCCGACCTTCTGGGGCAACAGAAAACAACTCCGTACCATCCTCTATATGACAGCCCTTCAAGTACTTGAAGATGGTTATCATATCACCTCTCAGTCGTCTCCTCTCCAGGCTAAACATACCCAGCTCCTTCAACCTTTCCTCATAGGAATTAGTCTCCAGACTCCTCACCATCTTTCTTGTCCTCCTCTGGACATGTTCCAACTTGTCTATTTCCTTCTTAAATTATGGTGCTCAAAACTGAACACAATACTCTAGGTGAGGTCTAACCACAGCAGAGTAAAGTGGTACCATCACTTCGAGTGATCTGGACACTGTACTTCTGTTGATACACCCCAAAATCGCATTTGCCTTTTTAGCTGTTGCATCACACTGCTGACTCATGTTCAGTGTATGGTCTACTAATACCCGTAGATCCTTTTCGCACATACTACTGCCAAGACAAGAAGTATGGCTGGAGGAAGATTGTTTTCAGACAAGAAAAGGGGGTAGTAGGTAAAGCTATCTTTGCTTGTGTTGTACCAATCCTTTGTTTTGTCATTTTCCTCCTACAGATGCTTACCCCCCATTCAACTTGCATATGTTTGTTTCTCATTGTAGATCAGGCTTCACCATTGCTGAAATTGAGCCAATGGGAATCTTTCAATTTGCTCCTAACTCAAGGCATATTTCAGTGCAGGAAGATGTTCAAGTGGTCAGATTATATGTACAAAGACTGCTTGGTTACCAAAGCAATTTCACCAAAGTGTTGTATCAGACAACTGCAGGAAGTGCCAAACCACCAGAAGACTTTGAATCTGTTCATAATGGAGAACTTGTTTTTGGACTCTTTCAAACTGAAGCTGTGTTTGAAATCTTGATAATTGATGACAGCATATCAGAACAAGATGAAATGTTTTTCGTGAACTTAACATCTGTGGAAGTTTTAGCTACTCAGGAACTTGACTTAACATGGAATCCACGTTTGAATCCAGAATTTAGTGTTGCATCAGTTATCCTATTGGGCAACGATATCCATCATGGAATCTTGAGCATTGGACCAGCTGTTATTAACACTGAAGAAGATGCCAATAACAGTATACCAAACTCAGTTCTGATCCATATCAAAAGGACTCAGGGGTTTGTTGGCAATGTCTCAGTAGCCATTAAAACATTAGGTGGAATAAATGCTCAAAGTGGGATAGGTACATCACCTTTTGAGACCGTTTCTTGGGTTTCCAACTTGACCTGGGCAATTGAAGGGGTGGATTTTGAAGAGCTGGCTTTGTCTGTGATGTTGCTGGATGGGGAAGGAGAAAGCCGAGTGTCTGTCAGAATTCTTGATGATGATGAGCCTGAAGGACAGGAATTCTTTTATGTTATCCTCTCCAACCCTGAAGGTGGAGCTGTGATTATGGAAGGCAATGATGAGTATGGGTTTGCAGGTTTTGCAACTATAGTTATCAAAGGTAATATTGTTTTCATTGATTCAGTAAATAATTAAATGCTGTCAGGTGCAGGTGTTACTGTCACTGTACATGGCATTGTTGTTACACTGAAATCTACTCCTCCAGTAAATTACAGTACACCAGATTCTTTTCTGATTCCAGTGGACACAAGACAACTATGTACACTGCTGGGTTAGATTTACAGATCAAATTGATGTATCAAGTGGAATACCATAATTTCACAGTAATACAAAATAATCAAGTAAAGTGCATGCAAATGCATTATATTACTTCACAGAGTATGTCTGGAAGTCTGCTGAGTGGCCAGTTGTTCAACTTAAGTGGCAGGGAGCAAAATTACATTTAGTCTTCTCAAAAATGCATGGAGGAAGCATGCGCCTGTGGTCATACCTGTGATTATTTTTTTATCTTAAGAGACTTTTCTTTAAATTAAGAAGACAGGATCCCAGCCATGGGCTGGGGGGGGCATTTATGCCTGTGCAGAAGTGAGGGAGCAAAGATGATTTGGGGCAATTGGGCCCAGCACTGGCTGTCAGCCACTCAGCTCTCAAGCAGTGGTCAGCCCATCACAGAGTGGGTGGGGCTTGCAGACTAGTGGGCTGCAGGCTTGTCTCTGGTATGCTGCTCAGACTGAAAGGAGCAGGTTGAAGAGATTCTTAGTATTCCAAGCCATCATGGATGTAGGGGAAAACCTTGGAAAACTCACTTGTTTGACTCATTCAGATCCAGGCAAGTCTCTCTCTACTTTCTCTTTGTGAGCTCAGTGTGAACCAAGTAGAGCTTTAGTTTGGGTGCAGAAACCAATCATGTAATGCCAGTTTCACAATGAAAAACCCAGCTATAAGAAAAAGGGATATAGTTAAGCAACAATTGCCTATCATCCTCTGAACAAATTGGGGGGGGGGGGCGGCGACATATGTTCCTACCCTAGGTCTAAAACCTGCTTCCCTTTGGTGATTAATTAGGAGGGGGTAGGCAGAATAACCTGCAGATTTTCAGGTTCGCCTTCTGTTCATATCTTTGCCTTTCTCTGCTATCTTGTAGGCCTCCTACCTTAAGGTCTGACTAATCTCAACCTGCCAAAAGAATTCCCAAATCTCTCTTCTTATCTTACCATGTTCTCTGATCCGTCGCAAAAGGACAGGCAATAAGTCCCCCTCCCCTCCTACCTAATGGAAAATTATCAGGCAGACTACAGAAGTTTCTTGCCACCTCCACTGAACATTGTGGTGCTTCCCCAGGCCCCTCTCCCCCTCCCCCAGATATCTCTTGTTTTTCTGCCTATGTCCATCAGCATGGTAACTGATATCCAGCTACCTTTGTAGTCTGGAATTTAAAGGGAAAAACTTGTTTTCCAACCCTTTGCATACCTGTAATGGTATTGTTTGTTTAGTCTCTGAGCATTCACAGAGTACAGATTCAACATTAACCTTGTAAAGTGGTAAGCTTTTAAAAAGATAACCTGATCTGAAGTACCGTTTCAACACAAAACCTAGTTCTAGATCCTTTAAAACAACTGAGTTAGCTACACACCTGAGATTGAGGATGATTTTCTCTCTGAACATTCTTGCTTCCAACCTCTCTGAGTTCTAATGGCTAATCCTCCATTCTGTAAAGGACAGGCAATAAGTCCCCCTCCCCTCCTACCTAATGGAAAATTATCAGGCAGACTACAGAAGTTTCTTGCCACCTCCACTGAACATTGTGGTGCTTCCCCAGGCCCCTCTCCCCCTCCCCCAGATATCTCTTGTTTTTCTGCCTATGTCCATCAGCATGGTAACTGATATCCAGCTACCTTTGTAGTCTGGAATTTAAAGGGAAAAACTTGTTTTCCAACCCTTTGCATACCTGTAATGGTATTGTTTGTTTAGTCTCTGAGCATTCACAGAGTACAGATTCAACATTAACCTTGTAAAGTGGTAAGCTTTTAAAAAGATACCTGATGTGAAGTACCGTTTCAACACACAACCTAGTTCTAGGTCCTTTAAAACAACTGAGTTAGCTACGCGCCTGAGTTTGAGGATGATTTTTTCTCTGAACATTCTTGCTTCCAACCTCTCTGAGTTCTAATGGCTAATCCTCCATTCTGTATAAGAACATTTCTCTATTAGCTCCAATGATTATGCCAAAGGTGATTGACAACACCCTATTAAGGTAAATGACAACACCATTTTGCTCACAGACGGGAAGAGATATGGACAGATAAGTAACCACCAGAGATCGGTTTAATAATTCTAGCTACCTCTAGTGCAACTTCTTAGCTCACGTTGGGTCCTTCTCCTATGCAACCTACTTAGCCAGCAGCTAATTGATTAAAGAATTAATAGATATTTCCCCAAATTTCCAGAGTTTATGCAAAGAAAGCTCCAAAGAATGCACTTATAAACTCTGATCAGTTTTAACCATAATTAGCAAACCTTCTATCGCTCTGTGACTTTGTTTCCAGTGTTGTGACATAGACACTTTCCACTTCTAGTCTATTCCCTTTTCTTGGTCTCTTTGGCTTCTTAGCTTTTCAGGTCTAGCCATCTTTCCAGCATTGGAGGGAACATCTCAGAACCTTGATTATGAAGGTCCCAGTATTATGCTCTACAGTGTAGCATAAGAAGAGTCCCTTACCCCTCCCTCCAAAAACAAGAGAGGCAGAGGCACTTTTACAATGTAATGTGTAACATTGGTGAGGAACAACAGAGGGTAGTGGGAAGAGTTTCCTACTACTTTTCCATTATTTAAAGCTTGATCAACTTCTTCATCATAGGAAATACTTAATGAGATAGTTGTCATAAATATGTATGGAAATACCCAGAGTCTACTTTCTTTTGGCAATTTTTTTTTAAAAAATAGATACATATCTGTGTGCTTACATGATGGATATTGTTTGTAATAATGGAGGAAGAGGTTCATGGTGCTATTGCTGCATAATACATATGAAATGTCTGTAGAGAGGAGGCCCATGTGATTCATTACCTTAACTCCCTGTTTTCCCCAGTGTTTCTTAGATAGGGAGGCAAGGATCACAATAGGACTTTTTCAGAAAAGAGACTGGATTTGAGTCCAGATACAAAAAGGGAGCTTTGACTCTCAAAAACGTATATCTTGAAAAGCTCATTGGTCTCTCAGGTCCTACGGGACTTAGATCTAGCAGCTCTACTGCAGACCAACACCGCTAACCTCTGAAACAAAGAAAGGAGACTGTATTAGGATATGGCAACTGCCCCTTTGGAATAGTCTAGGCAAAGGCTAAGCCTTCATGCCAGTTGAAAAACTCGCAAAAATGCTAAAGGGGATGCTATAGGTCCATTAGAAAGATGACATATTTTGCACTTTCCCACCAAAACTAATGTCTAGCTGTATTTTATCAAAGATGCTGCTACCACTGAATTTTTCATCACTCGCATTACCCAGTGGTAAAGGCTATCTGAATTCCCCCAGAAAGATTTACCAGATTACATCAAACTCTAAACAAGCACTTCAACTGTTCTTTAAGAATGTTAACTTTATTTACAGTCCCTGTTGTTTCTGTGTTATCTGTATCCAAATGGAGGAAATAGGCTTCAGCCTGGAATTAATGGCCATCTCCAAAAGCTATCATAGCCTTGTTGCACTGGCTAAAGCAGCTAAAGGCATCTGCATACCTGCAGTTCAAATGGCGGGTCTCGTTAATGTCTTAAATGGGATATGGAGTGGTATAGTATAGCCTGATCTCATCAGATCTTGGAGGCTAAGCAGGGTTGGGGCTTGGATGGGAGGAGTAGGCACTTGCCTTGAAAGCCCCTTGCTGGGGTTGCAGTAAGTTGGCTTCAACTTAATGGCCCTTTACACAAACAGTGTCTTAAACTATTGGCACTTAATGGTATGTCATGTTGATGTTTACAGTGGCTTTTAAATAACTGATTCGATGTAACATGTTCCCGTCTAATTTTTTGTACCATGAAACTGACAAAACAAGATTATTTGGTTCTAATTTCACTTAATCCTGAAAATCGTTTTGTCTCTTAGCAATTTCAGTTCAAATGGTGGAGGTGACTGTGGGGTACTGATTTAGTTCAGCTAAATACTGGTTTGGCCATAACCAGTTTGTGTAAATACTTCAGTTTCCAGCATAAATTCTTCAGGAAAGGTATAACAGGACATTCATGGGAAAACTTCTTTTACTTCATAGTTTTTTAAATTTACTAAAATACTGCATAATTATACAAAAGTATAATTTGCCCTGACCTGGATGTTCCAAGCTGGCCCAATCTTGTCCAGTCTTGGAAGCTAACCAGGATTGGCTCTGGTTAATAATTGGATGGGAGACCACTAAGGAGGTCCAGAGTCACTATGCAGAGGGAGACAATGGCAAATCATCTTTTGCCTCGAAAATCCTATGGGGTTGCTGTAATTTGGCTGCAACTTGATGGCCCTTTCCACCACCATGCAAAATTATTAAACAGTTTGTATGCATACCAACATTCATCAAACGGTTGTCAGTCTTCCTAATAATTTTGTGTGATCTGCTTCTCATCCAGGAAATGATCTTCAGAATGGCATTCTGGGATTTACGGGAGAGGCACAGAGTGGCCTTGTGCTTGATGAAGATTCTGAGAAGAGGGAGGTGCAGCTCATTGTCTCCAGGCAACCAAACAGGTGCAGGCAATGGCTGCTAAAAAAGAAAAGAAAAGTGCTGTCTCCACATACTGTAATGTGCTGTGTAGAAATCAAGGATGCTGCTGTTAGCAGAAGAGGTTATCATGAAATTTTGTAATAAATCTTTGACTTTCAGATGCTTTAATAGCTCAGTGCAAACTTGCCTCGTAAATTTAGAATGTGATTTAAGCGAGTCAGCCAGTCTACCAGAACTGAACAAAAATGAAAGAATTAAACACTCTGTCAACCTAACTCATATACATAATAGCTGAGATGTGAAATTAATTTCCTTGCTATTTGCACACGTGTGATTTATTGCTTACTCTACTGAGGTGCAGTGGTCAGTTGGTTAAAGCTGGAGATGTTAGGTTCAGAATTCACGTATCTTAATACCAACCTTCCCTATGGGCATCTGTAAGTGGGTACCTCATCTTTTATGTTGGGGAAGCCAAAGGCGTGGTGTGGGCCATATATTTAAGGGATTAACAGTGCCCTGCTCAGCAGAATTACACCCTCCTAAGTCCAGTGAAGTCAGTGGCATAGAAGGTATAACTCTTCTTAGGATGGTACAGTAAATGAAGCAGCTTTTTACTATAAACATGCTTAGGGTTTAGTTACTTAGGTTTCAATATGTCAGATATTGCACTCTAGACTTGGTATGCTTTTCTTAACTTTTTTATCTTCATTTTTTGTATTTTTCAAGGAGAAGGTGGGTGGACTGTATGCACCTCCATTTGTTACAGTAACTGACACTGTTGGCCGGTGTGGTATACTCACTGCATTTTCATGGGACTTTTGCTAGCATAAAGATTGCCTCATGGATCACCTTTCATCTGCATGGTTCAGCTCCATGTCATTTTACTGTGCCCAGACCTCAAATGACTGTGAATGCAGACAGCTCATCTTTACTTTGACTTGTTAGCCATGCAGAAATTCAAAGTATTTTTATCTTGACATGGAAACAGAGTTGGAATACACTTGCACAAAATTGTAGGTCTGAAACCTAACATGGGCATGCACTGAAGGGTTTGAATTGAAGCCTACAGACTGAGCGCCAAATACAAGTGACAGAGGCCATGGCTCCATCCTGTTGCCACAAACACAATTTTAAAAATATTTGTAGGCCCCGGTCACATGAATGGTTTTGGGCCGGGAGAGGGACGGATCGGGGCCGCAGCAAACGGGCGCGATCCCACTGCAACAGCTGGGCAGGTTTTGTGCCCCGTCCCACAGCCGGCCCTTCCCCCGAAAAGACGCATCTAAAATGAACCACCTACCGAGGTGGTTCTTCCAGGACGGCCGCATCAAGGCCGGCCGTGGAATCTCCGGCCCGTCTTTCTGCCGGCGCATCCCCGGCTCCTGCCTGAACAGCGCATGCGCAGTTCGGCAGTCTCCCGTTCCCCTCCGTCGCTTCCCCTGGCATCTGATCGTGCCGGGGAGGGAATGCGCCGCGGCTCAAGGGATCAATGTGATCCCGCTGCGGCGTGTTTCTTTTGGTGCGGCTTTCAAAAGCCACACTTCAGCCCATCCCTTTCCCCTCCGTGTGGCAGGGACCGTAGTTATTTAAAAATTGCTGTGAGGCCTCAGTCTGCATCAGACACGTGGTGTGGTGGCCCTAGGAACTCTTGTTTCCCCCCTGCACTTTTTCAAATGCAGAAGCGCCCCCTCATGGTTGTTCCTATAACTGAAAAGGCATGGAGAGGGGGAACAAGAGCTTCTGAGGCCTCCATGCCGTGCACCTGATCAGGATCAGGGCCTCACGGCAAGTTTTAAAGAACTACAAATGCTTTTAAAATGACGGCTTCTGCCACTTGTATTTTGGCTCTGGATTTAGTTAGTTTGTCTTATACAGCACATCAGAGCAATATTAGGAAATGTTATGCTACAAAAAGATATTTCTTTCTTTGTATTTATTGCATTGTTTTGCAATAGAATGCCATTTTGAAATGCACGAGGGGGAAAAATGTGAGAAGGTTTAGACTTTCCTAAAAGAATGTTTACCTCTTTCAGTGTATTTATACTGGTTTGCTTTGTTGATAGGGCTTTTGAAGATGTGAAAATCTCGTGGCGTGTTACTTTTAATGAAACATCAGTTATCCTGCAGAAGGATGGTGTCAATCTAGCAAACGAGCTGGTGGCTGTCTTAGGAGTTACTATCTGTAATGCCGGTCAAACAAAATGCACCATCTCTATTGAGATAAAGCCTGATAATGTAAGTATTTATTATAATGAATTAATCACTTAGATGGCCTCTCAAAAAATCCAAGATGTTTATGTCTCCTAAGGGACAAACTGACGGCAGGAGATCTATGTATGATTTCCTGCAACTTTTTGATATATTAATATGAACTGTAGGGGCCTTAATTTGAATTGGGATTGGATAATGAACCCTTTCCCATCCATGCTAGTTTCCTAATACACACTGCCCCTGGGACCTGCAGTTTCCTCCTGTCAGGCAAATAGCAACTCATGTGGGGATACATATATGATGAGATGTAGAAATCCACATCCTCTAGTACCTCTGCTTGGATCTGCATCAGACACTCTTATTAGCTGCTGTAAAGAAAAAGAAACCTGCCAGAGGACCTGTTCATCCATGGGTCATTGGCCCTTGCACCTCCTTTGTTTGTTACTGCCTCTTTGTTCTAGATGTGAAGGAAGATGTGATTAAGGACAGAACATAAAGAGAAACTGGAGGATATGGTGGGGGAGGATGCTAGAGGAATAGTTGATTCTATTCTGGCATTGCTATACATCAGTCATTTCACTGGCTCTGAAGCAGCATCAACCTTCTCACTTAGGAAGTTCAGGCCTTAAGTACCAAATGTCAGGGTAAGCTTTAATATTACTTTGCCTCGCAAGCACTTATATCCAGTGCAGGAGTACAGAAGTTATTCAGCCATCCCAGCTTTCTCTCTCTCTTTCCCCACCACCTTCAAACCAATTTTTAGGGATTTGTTTCCCCTTTGCTGCTTGCTGCTTAAAGGCTTAGTAGCATGTTTGGGTCTCTCTCACCTTTTGCACTCAGTACCAAAAGAACCAACATGCACTGCCCCCTCCTCTTTCTGCTCCTGGTTCACGTGGACTGAACGGGGTCTTGACATGGGTCACGTCAGACTAACCATATTAAAAATGAAAAGGTGAATTATTAATAGGAGAATAAATAGTACACACTGTACCTGTAAACATAACAGACTGAGCAAGGATAGAAGAAGGGTGGATAAAATGCAAATAGTCTAATCCCTGGTTCTTACATATCCCTTTGGGTGGTAATAAGAGATAGGCTGCTTAATTCTTTAAGTTGCAGGTGTTTAAGAATAATTTATTACTTTGGTTTCAGTATTTGGGGGGGGGGGTCTTCCCCTGACTTCCTAAGGACCATATGCTCAGAACTACTATCCAGAGTCAAAATGAATTCCTTCATCCTCCTTAGTATATAAAACGGAACTGAATCCATTTTACAGTTTGAGCGATTGTGTCTGTCAATTCATCCACCCACGCTCCTTAGAATTGCTTCTGGATTTATAAAGGGTGTCTATGGTGCAGAAATAGCAGATCAATGTTGGCATTATATATATGAGGCTGTTCTTGCTTGCTTCCTCAATCATGCTTGTATACTGTATATTATGTAAGGAAGTTTGAGATTTCCAATGAAATTATGTATTTAATTTTTTTCTGAATTTTTAATAATTTTGCTCAAACACTGCAACTTTTTAGAGAACCTGTTTTATCTGTAGCATATTCTTTAAAAATTGGCCGATACATTGCTGGGGGATGAATTAACAAATATATTATGAAAATCCCTACAATTGTATCATTTAAAGAGAGCTAAAATATTGTCAAAGAGAGACTCTTTAAACATTAGTACAACTAGTGGAGAGTCCCTTTCACCAGAACAATCTTTTGGATGATGTTTCTTCATGTACAAGTGTCTTGAAACCAGTTTCAGTTTGAAAATTGTAACCTGGAAATTGTTTGAGGATTAAAAATGATCATTCTAGTTTGTTTTCTCCGCCCCGCCCCCTTCTTATTCCTTAAAACTTTGAGGGAATTAATATTTTCCCTTCGAAGCAAGGGATGAAAGAACATAAAAAGTAAAGTTTTTTCCGTCTAAGATCATTTACATGGCATGCTAGTCCTGCTTTAGGATGACAACTGTAATAATGCCAAGCATGTTAATCTGAATGCCTTAGATAAAGGGCGATCTGGTGATCTTGGGGAGAGCAGTGGAGATTCTGGAGAGCTGCTGTACCCAGGATGTCTGACATTTCCTCACTGTGTTTTCAAGGCTCTTCAGTTACAAGAGTCCTTGTGGAACTGATCCCTTGATATGAGAAGCACATTGTACAAAAATAACTCTTGATAGAGAGAAAAAAACACTATTAGCAGTGTCCTTTTATTAACATAGTACTTTTGTTATAATGGGTGCAAAGCTTTGAATATTATTTTTGATTATCAGGTACCTGAATTTGAGACCTCTTTTTTTGTGGAGCTTTATGATGTGAGTGCAGGAGCGGCATTAAATGATAGCTCCCGATTTGCCTACATATTCATTCCAGAAAGTGACTCTCCTCGAGGCCTGATATACTTTGCTGTGGGCTCTCGTCTGGCTGTGGCCCATAAGAAAACCACTTTAATTAGTCTCCAGGTGGTTAGAGATTCTAGCACAGCCCTTTCCATCTCCTTTGGCTACACAACTCAGGTAGGACTGCTTCATAAATGCATATACCATCCATGTCTTTCATTCTTCTCTTTACAAAGGAACAAGTTAGTAGATATTTACTTTTCTCATAAGGTGCTAACAGTGTATGTTATTATAACAGTCGTGTAATAGAATGAGGATTTGCTGTCATTGGACTGATCTCTGTCCTATAAAATTATTAAAATGTAATCTTTGACAGTACCAGCTGACTGTCAGACTTTGCCTAAATGCCAGCTTGCCCCCTTTTCCATCCATATATATACTCAGAATTTATTTAATAAATTATTGAAATTGATACAGGTGGAATTGATGAATTACAGGCTCACAGGTTATATTTGTAACAACGATGGCTTTCCTCATGAGAACTGTGTGGTTGATAGTGGTGACTATGGCACAGTTATCACATTTTCCCCATCACCATTGGATCTCCCTGAAGCTATGCTGATTATGAGAGGTCTTCTACAATCTCACCCCTGGAAGAATGAAAGGAACTCTCAATGGCACGCTGTGTCCAGTTCACTTTTCAGATAAAATTGTCTGTATCTGCTGCCATACTACCTAAATTTGAGGAACAGAGTTCTGGATGCGTCTTTGGTTTCATTCAGTAGTGTGTCTGTGGGGATATCTTTCAGTGTGTGCACCATGAGGATGGAGACAGGATTCTTAGAGAAGTGATGCCTACCACATCAGTACAAGACACACAGTCTTCCTGGCTTATTAGAATGGCCAGACAGGACTGGTTCATAATGATGGAAATGATTAATATCTCAGTGAGGAGAAGGTATTGTCGCAATGACACTGGAGAGGGCTGTTACGAGATCCTTGTTAAAGAAAACACACGTGGATTTCATTAGTAAATATCATCCAGATTCAAGTGTGTCATACTTGAGTATGGTGCTTCACCATGTATGGACAGCCCAGCTACAGCAGTTAATGGGTACAACTGTGCTACTTTTAGTGGACCTCTCTCAGGTATTTATGGTATGTTTTTCAATGACCTTGCTGGAATAGGACTGGAGGACACTATGGCAGCTACCACAGTGAAATGGTTTTGTGGGTAATTCTTGCTACTGCTGCAAACACAGAGTCATTTGCAATGGCAACATAGCATCCACACAGCAGTCATTCCTGAACTTTCCTTATCTTAGTGCCCCCTCCCCCCAGTGGGCAACATGGACCACTGATCTGATTCAGCCAGGATCTTCTTAAGAGAGCCAGTTTGGTGTAGTGGTTGAGTGCGCGGACTCTAATCTGGGAGAGCCAGGTTTGATTCCCCACTCCTCCACTTGCACCTGGCTGGATGACCTTGGGCAAGCCGTAGTTCTGGCACAGCTGTTCTTGAAAAAGAGCAGTTTCTGTCAAGAGCTCTCTCAGCCCCACCTACCTCACAGGGTGTCTGTTGTGGGGAGGGGAAGGAGTTTGTAAGCCGCTCTGAGACACCTTTGGGTACT